AATTTTGCCAAATGACGTTGATATTTTAAAGCACCAAATCAAAAATGTCAACAACTCAACATGACCACGCCCCTTTTTATATCTCTGCTATTATCACTAGACACGCCCCTTACTGCTGATTGGCTGCAGATGTGTTTCGGGACTTCAAATTATGCAAAATGATGTTGATATTTAAAACTACTAAATCAAAATGGCAACAACTCAACATGACCACGCCTCTTTTTATCTCTGTGCTAGATATAGGCACGCCCCTTACTGCTGATTGGCTGTCTTTTGGGATACAGTCCGAATTATGCCAAATGATGCTGATGTGTGAAAGCACCAAATCAAAAAATGTCAACATGGCCACACCCCTTTTAATGTCTCTGATATAGTCATAGACACGCCCCTTTCAGCTGATTGGCTGCAAGTGTGTCCAACACTGAGGTCAAAAGCATTATTTAGATATTGCTTAGTGCCTCTTTAAAGGCGTGTCTCTTTTTGTTAGATATTTAACGCTTAATAAGCTTACTAATGGCTTGATTCTTTAATTAAGACTCATTACAATTCCCTAAGGGAAGAATGAATGGAGAAATACTTCAGTAACCAGCACTGCTGAATCAATGAGTGTGCACTAATGCACTGTATAACATCGGATGTCACCATGCTGACTGTTGATGATGTTGCATCAGTCACCATTTACATGAAACTGCAAACTACAAAATAAAAGTCACACTTCTGAGAAAAAATAAAGCAATGCAAAACAAAGGTCATGTGACTTCAGCTGGCGGCCCACATTCAGCAGGAGAGAGGTTTTGAACAGCACATCAAAAACAAACTAATTTTCACAAAGTCAAAGCACTAACAGATATAAAACATTCTTATAAATCCAAGAAGATTCAGACTGTGTGTTATGGCTTTTTTCAACACTTTAAAATAGTGGCTCTGCTTTCACATTCAAGGTATCAGTGCAAAACACACACACACGCATTCACACGCCTTAGGAAAGAGACATTTACAACCTCATAATTACCACATTTATCAAAAGTTCCTGCATGAACAGAACAAAAAAAATAAAGAAACAAAAAATAAAGCATGAGTCACAACAACGCTCCTGTGATGAAGGTGGAGACTCGTTAAAATTCGTCTCGTTAAGGTTGCCATGGTAACCAGAATGGCTATTTAAATCTCAAACGCTCTTGTTTTCTGATGCTCTACATTAAAGGCCCATAAAAACACATACAATGCTCTCTCAAAGCGCATTTCACTAATCGAACAGAGAATTCAGATTTGACTTCAGAAACACTTCATTCAATCAAATACACATCTTACAGCAACTCTAATATGAGCAGATCAGCATTGACAGTCTTCAGCTGCTGCATATCATTACTAAAGTAGGATTACCATAGTAAAAACATTCATTTTCAGCCGCTAACAACAGCTCCAAGGTTGTTAAATGCTTTGTTAAACTGTCTACTAGCATTAATGCTTATTTTGGGGGATTTGTGCAGAAAAAAACTACATTACCCATGATGCTGTATAAAATTCCACCAATCAGAGTTCAAATTAGTAAAGTGCAATTTTTTAGCTCCGCCCACTTCTATGAAGCACTGCACATGACAAAATCAACTCAGTTTACTACAACATATGCACATATACGTACATGGTTTCAGTATTTTCAGACGGCATCACTGGGATTACTTAATGGGAGTAGGCGGGGCTAAAGATCTTTTTTGGGGCATGTAGCAACTCTCCGATTGATGGATTTTTTTCACAGCATTTTGGGTATTGTAGTTTTTATTACGCAGTTCATTGATATTAATAATTAAAATAAATTAGCAAAAATAAATTAATGAGTATATGGATGTTAAATGTTGTTTACTTTATTCTCCAGTCTTGTATGTTTGTCTAAGTTTCATTAAATTCTGCGCTTCAAATTAATGTTTATAATATTGTAATTCTCCTCAGATCTGCTTGCTTTAGTTCATGGATTATTAAAAATTTTTTTTTTTAAATTCCGCATTAGAATAAAGAATGTAAACAATACACCCAGGAACCAAAAAGGTATTTTGTTATTATGAGTTTAAATATACTTGTACATTTTTAATTATTAAGTAAAATATGTTATAATGTAAAATATAATAATAATGTTACATTATAAAATATGTAATGTTGAACGGGAATACAAGCAAAAACTACATTACCCATAATGCCTTAAAAACTACACATCAGAGAGACACATGCATACATACAAACATTTCAGTATTTTCAGATAACATCACTGGCAGTTCTTAATGGAGGTGGGCGGAGCTAAATATATTATTGGTGCATGTCTCTGATTGGTGGAATTTTTCATTTCACAGCATCATGGGTAATGCGGTTTTTTAGCATGTATCATGCAATTTATTATTACGAATTTAAATATCTTTGTAAAATTTCAATATGAAAAATTAAAATATGATTGTTGTAATGTTGTGATTCCCCTCAGATCTGCTTGCTTTGGTTCATGGATTATTAATCTTTTAATTTTAATTTATGCTTAGGATAAATGAATGTAAACAACATTTTCAGGAGCAAAAAAGGGGCTAAAAGTGCGCTCTATGAAGTGTTTAAGAGACAAACTGCTCAGTCAAGGAAAATCAGCTTAGTTGTTGAACCTGCCTAAGTGAAATAATTCTTATTTTAAAATATTAACAATGAACTGGAGAATACATGCAAAAAAACTACATTACCCATAATGCTGTTAAAAATCCACCAATGAAAGAGACACATACATACTCATAAACATTTCAGTATTATCATATTACCTCACTGGCAGAGCTTAACAGAAGCGTGTGGAACTTGTTGCATGTTGTTTATTGCAACTGTCTGATAGGTGGATGTTTTCTCTGATTGGTGGATGTTTTCTCTGATTGGTGGAGCATCATGGGTAATGTAGTTTTTTTGGAAGCCAAAAACAGATTTACATCTCAGTGATATGATGATGTCAGCTGCCTCTGAGAGATTTGATTCTGAATCACCTGATCACACAAACACCAATCACAGAGATGGAAAACCACGGAGGCTCATCCGTGTAAAACTTTAAAACCTGCACATACGCCATGCTGCCAAACTAGACTTCAGTTTACACCCTAAAAAATTAATTAATAAACTGATAATAAGCCATGCTTTAAAAAAGAGATCAAAACAATAATCAAATATACAGTCTCAAGTACAACAGCAACACTCTGATTGAAGTAATAATCATTATGCTAGTCGTAACAACAGCGATAGATTCAGTAATAATAATTATAGTAATTTATTAAAACATGATCTACTGTATTCGGGAGCACCTGGGCAAGTGACGCGCAAAGGATTGTGGGTAATGAAGGCAATGGTGCGGATAATTTTAACTCTAGTCAGGAGTCTATGGCCGCTGTCCTGGTGTAATGATGGTCAATCGGGCCGGTCAAAGGTCAGGGGTGACCGCAATGCTGTTTGAGAAGAAGCCAGCAGAAAGAGAGAGAGAGAGAGAGAGAGAGAGAGAGAAGAACTTTGATTGTTTTAATTTATTGTTATTTATTATTATTGTTTTATCCTTGAATGTCGATTGCTAAAGATATTGTTTATTATTATTTATTATTATTGTTTGATCCTAATAACTGTTTTTATTCTTCACCACTGCTTTTCATAAGTTCTGTTTAATTAAAGTAAACATCAAAAATCAACATGGCAACACATACAGTTGAAGTCAGAATTATTCACCCCCCTGTTGATTTTCCCCCTAATTTCTGTTGAACCGAGAGAAGATGTTCATCAACACATCTGTAATCATAACCGTGTTAATAACTCATCTCTCATAACTGATTTATTTTCTCTTAGTAGTGATGACAGTAAATATTATTAGACTAGATATATTCTAATATTATTTACTGTCATCATGATTTTTTGTCTTGTTTCTGGTCCAAATATCTAAAAATTCTTATATCAAGAAGCATTTTCTAGGCAAGCAAAACATATGGTCTTGTTTTCAGAAATAATACGCCAATATTAAGTGACTTTTTCCTTAAAACAAGCAAAATAATCTGCCAATGGGGTCAGCAAAATATTCTTATGTCAAAAGGAAAAACAAGATTATTTTGCTCACCCCATTGGCAGATTAATTAATTTAATTTTGGCATTTTATATCTTAAAACAAGACAGTATGTTTTGCTCGTCTAGGAAATTCTGCTTGATTTAAGAGTTTTTAGATATTTGGACCAGAAACAAGACAAAAAAATCTAAGTAAGAAAAGCCTTTATAGATATTCTTCAAGACACTAGTGTTCAGCTTACAGTGACATGTAAAGGCTTCACTAGGGTAATCAGGGTAAAGTTAGGGTAATTAGGCAAGTCATTGTATAACAGTGGTTTGTTCTGGAGACAATCCAACACTAATATTGTTGAAGGGGCCAATAATATTGCCCAAATAAAACAAATCAGACTTTCTCCAGAAGAACAAATATTAGAGGAAATACTGTGAACAATTCCTGAATCTGAACAACATCATTTGGGAAATATTGGAAAATAAATCAATTTAAAGGGGGGTGAATAATTCTGACTTCAACTGTTTGTACTTTTTATATAAGCCAATACACTAATATTAGCCTTTTTGTATTTCTAATCTGTATATGCATTAATCAGCGTTTTAATAGTGTGTTTTACTGTGTTATAGTGCAGCGGTCCTCAACCTTTTTATCAATGCGGACTGGTCAACGCTTGACAGTTTTACCACAGACCAGGATTTGGGGGAACGGACAGACCATCAACGTTTTCTCAGAGGATGACAAGCTGACAAAACATTGCTGTCACTCTTATACAAGCTTTATTAACGGAGAAAGTTACAAAGCTCTGCAGTGTTTGGGCAAACTCACACTATGCTGGAAATGGCTGGAAACCAGCCTGGAAGTGGCCCAAACCCCTCTAAAACCAGGCTGGTCGACCAGCTAAAACCAGCCAACCATCCAACCATCCTAGGCTGGTTTAAGCTGGATTTTTCAGCAGGGTTTTGAATTGAATTGAATTTGAGAGAGAGGCATAGAGAGAGAGAAGAACAGACAGAAAGAGAGACTATCGGCTTCTAGGCTGGAGTTTTCAGAGTGCTGGCGTCCCATTGGTCCATCATCTATGATCCACTGCAGAACCGCTCTGAAATACAAAACCCCAAATCAGCTGAAGCATGCTGAAAAATAAACATAATATACTAGAATATACAAAAAAAATAAGTATAATAGTTATAGGTGGACTATAATTTCGACTAACTAATTTCAAGAGGAGCACGCGCTTATGCTTGATAGCACCTGGTCCACATTAGCTAACACTGATTGACCAATCAGATGACTCCTTAGCCACTATTAATAACCAGAGTATCTTACTTCAGCCATCTCCAGTCGTCTATGTCTTGGGTGTCATGCTCTGCGCACACCCACGACGGCGCGCGCACACAGAGACACACACAATGACAGAAACAGGACAAGACAGAGCTAGTTTCCAGACTCTGCCACCAAAACAAGAATTCACAAGACCAGAGTGGCAGAACCCTGACACAAAGCAGATCAACATAGAAGATTATAGTAACTGAAACAGAGTTCGTCCTGTTTTCATTTCACGATTGTGAATTCGGGGTGCTTTAAAATGTAATTTTTAAATAAACATTGCATTGTGTAAATAGTATTTATTCATAAATTGTGTAGTATTCGGATGACTGTCACTTTAAATTAAAATGAGATTGTGCTCTTTTTAGAAGAGGGCGGAGCTATAGATGTAAAACAGCACAGAGTGTGTTGTGAGTGCTGGTCAGGTGTGCATGTGCACTTCAGAGTGAGTGAGTGCTTGATGCTTCTGTCAGTCTATGTGGCTCCTGTCTCTGTTCATCTAGAACTCCACATCTATAATCCTCTTAGTCTATGCTGACATCATCTTCAGCAGCTCAAACACTCTAATGGCTAATGCACAGACGGCTGCTTCTCACTCAGGACTGCTGTTTATGCCAATGAGGGAGATATGGGCACTAGTGGGCGGGGCTTTTCCCCTCTGATGACACGTACAAAGGGAGAATGTCAATCAAAGTGTTTCATTCATCAAGTCTGATTAGAACAAACACAATTCATTCATGTTGACTATTAGAGGCTGGAGATGTTCACACACTGCTGACACACAACTGGGTTTAAACCCTGTATTAAAAAGATTTTTGGATAATAGGAGCTCTTTAAAGTGGCCTCACCTTCACTGCAGAGGAGCCGCTGGAGCGCCGGAGCAGTGGAAGTGAATGTTCTGCCATCTGGATTCCCGGCGGTGCCACACCCGCGTCTCCTCTGATTGGCTGCTGCGTGGGAGGCCCTGGCCATCCACAAACTGTGTCAGGCGGATGTAGGCGATGCAGGCGCCATCTTCACCAATCAGGTGCACATGAGGGTTCAGGATGGTGGTGTGGATCGGTTTACTGTTCTTGGAAAGCGCTGACAAAAACACACAATTATTCATGACTTATTCTAGAATTGTGGGTACATTCAAGCATTTTCCATTCATTTTTTATTCATATCAAACTGGAATGATATACAACTAATGTAAAATGTACTGTAATTGAATTATTATTAACGTAAAATAACAGTGCTGAAATGCTAAAGCGATCTTTTGATTCTGTTACAAATTACTGTTTAAATAACTTTTGGCTGACAATATCAGAGTTGACGATATCAGAGTTGACGATATCAGTTTACGATAACAAAGTTGACGATATCAGAGTTGACGATATCACAGTTGACGATATCACAGTTGACGATATCACAGTTGACGATATCAGTTTACAATAACAAAGTTGACGATATTAGAGTTGACGATATCACAGTTGATGATATAAGAGTTTACGATAACAAAGTTGACGATATCAGAGTTGACTATATCAGAGTTGATAATATCACAGTTGACGACATAAGAGTTTACGATAACAGAGTTGACGATATCAGAGTTTACGATAACAGAGTTGACGATATCAGAGTTGACGATATCAGAGTTTACGATAACAGAGTTGACGAAATCAGAGTTGACAATATCAAAGTTGACGATATCACAGTTGACAATATCAGTTTACGAAAACAAAGTTGGAGATATCAGAGTTGACGATATCACAGTTGACGATATCACAGTTGACGATATCAGAGTTTACAATAACAGAGTTGATGAAATCAGAGTTGACGATATCAAAGTTGATGATATCAGAGTTTACAATAACAGAGTTGATGAAATCAGAGTTGACGATATCAAAGTTGACGATATCAGTTTACGATAACAAAGTTGACGATATCAGAGTTGACGATATCAGAGTTGACGATATCAGAGTTTACGATAACAGAGTTGATGAAATCAGAGTTGACGATATCAAAGTTGAAGATATCACAGTTGACGATATCAGAGTTTACGATAAAAGAGTTGACGATATCAGAGTTTACGATAACAGAGTTGACGATGTCAGAGTTGACGATATCAGAGTTGACGATAACAGAGTTGACGATATCAGAGTTTACGATAACAGAGTTGACGAAATCAGAGTTGACGATATCAAAGTTGACGATATCACAGTTGACGATATCAGTTTACGATAACAAAGTTGACGATATCAGAGTTGACGATATCAGAGTTGACGATATCAGAGTTTACGATAACAGAGTTGACGATTTCAGAATTGATGATATTACAGTTTAGGATAACATAGTTGACGATACCAGAATTGACGATATTAGAGTTGACGATATCAGAGTTGACAATATCACAGTTGACGATATCAGAGTTTACGATAACAGAGTTAATGAAATCAGAGTTGACGATATCAAAGTTGAATATATCACAGTTGACGATATCAGAGTTTACGATAAAAGAGTTGACGATATCAGAGTTTACGATAAAAGACTTGAAGATATCAGAGTTTACGATGTCAGAGTTGACGATATCAGAGTTGACGATATCAAAGTTGACGATATCACAGTTGACGATATCAGTTTACGATAACAAAGTTGACGATATCAGAGTTTACGATAACAGAGTTGACGATTTCAGAATTGATGATATTAGAGTTTAGGATAACATAGTTGACGATACCAGAATTGACGATATTAGAGTTGACGTTAGCAGAGTTTACGATATCAGAGTTTACGATATCAGAATTGACAATATCACAGTTTACGATATTAGAATTGACAATATCAGAGTTGACAATGTATTTAAAGATAACTTGATTAATTTGAGTTATTATTCAAAACTGTTTCAATGAAACATGAAGGAGTTTTACATTGGAGATGCTAATTATCCCCGTAATTCTAAAATCAGCCATGATTAAAAACTGGCATTTTCATTCAGCATCAATTGATGTCAGTGTTTGTGCCTGAACACACTTACAGTTCTCAAAGTAAAATCTGTGGAAGTCCATTCCCTCCACCAGGTTCCCCAGAGCCTCGGGTTCGAAAGACGTCAGCCCTGGGTCACACATTTTCCTGAGAAAACGGCATCATTATTGTGGATATTAATATTATTCATGCAGCTGCAATTACACACGGGCAGCCTAAAGTGACATTTTATGCTGAGATGCAACACAACATTTTCAAATAAGCATCACAGACGATCATTTTCAGATCTTGTTTTGTATATAGCAATTTTTGAGCCAAAATGGCTTCCATTTGTATGATGTAAATGAACGTAAATGAACTTACGCATAGGCCTCAAAGTCTCCATTATTGAGGCCTTCTATCAGCTG